TTTATCCATATTAAGATTTAAGCGACATTTATGAAATAGCCATCCTAAAGTCAAAATCCATGTTCGCAAATTGCTGAGTTAGGACATATTGCAAATAGATAACTTACAATTCTTGGCAGGACATCTGATTCTGGTTCGGTATTAATATATTTTCACCAATTCACGGGATTATCTTTAGCAAAACTGATATCTAGGTCAAATGGTTCTTGCTCATTAATATATTTCTGTATTTGATCACATAAAGTTTTAGCTTCGTAACGATTAAAACCTAAATTTTTCCCGATTGAAGCTGCACATTTGATAATTCTCATGAGGGCGCATTTTTTAAGTGGCGCGTTTCTAAATCTGGGATCCATAAAAAAACAAGTAATATACTTATTATCATCGAACTCATCAAATCTTTCATTTATTACTTTGATACAATGACTTTGAAATGCAGGATTTAATGATTTAGGTAACTTTTTTAATGTAGCTGCAAATCTTGCCAAGCTCAGGAAACAATCTGCAAGTGTAGCTCTTCTCGATTCTAATGAAAGTACTGCTTTTCTTAGAGGATTCAGAACAAATCCAAGAACTCGTAAATTTAAAAAAATTTCTCGATTGAATAATCGGTTTTATTTTGTCATTTGTTAGCACTTTATTGTGATCGCTGGCCATTTTTTCTAGTGCTGATTCCAAATTTATTACTGAATTTACGGATTCACTAGCAGTAGTTCAGCGTGTCTTGCAATATAATTTTAATCCTCCTCCACTAATTCCTTTTTCTTTAATTATTTGAGCAAGTTTTGCATTAGCCTGATGAGAACTTCTAAAAAAGGTTGTCAAAATATTAACACGTTTTAATAAACGTTCCCCAAACTTCTCCTTGACGATGTCGCATGCAATTAAATTGATAGAATGTGCAACGCATCGCACATTCTCAATCTTTGGATGATTCTCATGTATAATTTTTCGTGCATTACGAACATTGGCCGCATTATCGGAAACTACAGCACATATTCGATCTTCTCCAATACCTTCTATAACCTTTTCAATTACCGTAACTAGATATTCTGCAGTGTGCGAATTTTCAGACAAATCAGAAAGTTGATAAAGATATTCTTTACGCGACGGAGTCATTACAATGAAGTTCCAAATTGAACGATGTGTACCAGACGTCCAACCATCAAAGGCTAAATTATAAATTAATATTATATAGTAAGTAAGATTAAATAAAAATGACGTATGATAGCCTATTTAATTTAACAAACCTAACGTTAAATTCGTTTCCTTTTCAAGCTCAGAATTAACTTTGAAGTTCACTTGAGCTAATTCACGTTCAAGTAGTTGATTTACTAATACTTCCCTTGTTGGTGTATTGTACCCGGCATTAAGCTCTTTTATAAAATTGATGAAAAAGGGATGTTCCACTACTCTAAACGCAATTCCGCACGCAATAAAAAATTTAACTAATGCACGATTAATTCGTGTACATCTTTGTTCGTTAAGCTCTGTTGAATCATGGTAATCATCCATGTTACTTTGACCTTCAGAGTATTTTCTTTTTTTGGATGACTTGGACTTATCTTGCCGTTCCATTACTTTAGTCATATACCTTCTAACAACTGCTGCTGGCGCATCTGGACAATGGTTTGAAAGATGCTCTTCGAGCTTTGAAACTTCACCGCGTGACCATGTATTCTTACAGTACTTGCAGGAGGCGGCAAATTTGCCAGAACCAACAGCTTCTCCTTTATTAATATCTTCCCAAATGCTATTAGGTGGCTGACCTCCTCTATTTTTCTTTTTAATGGGTGAATCTTCTATGTGATCAGTCATTTGAAACAGTTTATTATTAATTTTATTATTAAGAAACCGGAAGAAAGTAAAAGAAACTTTAATTCAGTGTTAAAGGAGATGACAGAATTGGGTTTATTAAATGCATGTTACGCATTTTCCTTTAATGAATATAAGCCCCTTAAAAAAACTGCAAAAACGTGTAATATCATAATATTAATATGGGAGTTAGAAATGAAAATTCTAACACTAGATAAAGCTTAAAAGAATTAAGACGACGGTAAAATATTGAAGTTTAATCTTTTATCTGTAGATTATTTGAACATCTAAATTATATTATTAATTGGTGTAACTTGGCGTAACTATATGCAAATCTTATGATCAATTATGCTGAAACTACAGAGAAACCTGTTATAGAGGTTTCAGCATGTTTTGGCAGTTTCGCAATTTTGACAGGTTTCGCAGTTTTGGCATTTTGGCGTTTTGGCACTATATAAGAGGTTTCACCTTTCGGCATTAGGCCAAACAGGTTTTGGCAAGCAACCTTAGTTACGAAGCTGAAACTTTATCATCAGCAAGTTTGAAAAGTGTTGATTTACACTAGTATACGTGTTGATCAACACCAGCTAGTTGTTCAACACGTTTTACAATATTAATCAACACCCGTATACTGGAGTATACCAACGCATAATGTTAATATATGCGTCATTCAACTCTAATGTGTAGTTCAACGCACTGTATATTAACATAACTAAATAAATTATATTAATTTATTTATTTTTATTCACCTTAGGAACCGAACTGGTTACCTCAATTACACTATTAATATATCAAATCTCACGATCTAACCATTGTACTATTATAAGTATTTATTAAAATTAATATTAAGCATTACGTATTTTATGTAATGATATATCACGTGTATCACGTGATACTGGATTAATAATTACCACTGCGCCACTGTAGTATAGCAAAAAAAAAATTAAGCTTTTTTTAGCAAAGCTTAATTTTTTTTTTGCTTCATTTTTCCCATTACCTTTTATTATCCTCTTCCCATTCGTTTTCTCATAACCCTTTCATTTTCCTATTACACTTTTGTTATCCCCTTCCATTCATTTTCTCATAACCCTTTCATTCTTCCCTTTCCTTTCGTTTTCCTATTACACTTTCATTCTTCCCTTTATTCTCTCCTTCCCTTTCATTTTCCCATAATCCTTTCATTTTCCCCTTTATCCTATAAAAAGTTTTATCCGTTATTTATGTAAAAACTCTGTAAATTCCGTAATATAAGGTTATTAATTCCAGTCTTATACGGAAAAAAGTTGGAAGGTATCAAACTTCTGGTAAGTTTCGCAACGAAACATTGCGAAACTACTTTTTCATTTTTTAATGAAATGTTTATTAGTAATGTTTCGAAATATTATTCTTTTTTTTAATTTCTTTAATCGGAACGTTAGCTAACATTCTGATTTATTATTTTTTTTAAATTTTTTAAATCAGAACGTTTTTAACATTCCAAAATATTTTTTTTTAATTTCTTTAATCGGAACGTTGGCTAATGTTCCGATTTATTATTTTTTTTAATTTTTAATCAGAACGTTGAAAAACGTTCTGAAATATTATTTTTTAAAAAAATTCTTTAATCAGAATGTTGGCTAACATTCCGATTAATTTTTTTATTACATTTTTTAATCAGAACGTTGAAAAATGTTCCGAAATATTGTTTTTTTTGATTTCTTTAATCAGAACGTTAGCTAACGTTCTGATTAATTTTTTTATTTCATTTTTTAATTGGAACGTTAGTTAACGTTCCGATTTACATTTTTTTGTTCTTTTTTTGACAAAACATTTTTAACGTTTCGTTATTAACTTTTTTTTCATTTCTTTTAATCAGAACGTTGAAAAACGTTTTGATTTACATTTTTTTTTCTTTTTTTAACAAAATGTTTTTAACGTTTCGTTAATAACTTTTTTTTCTTTTTTTTTAATCAGAACGTTGGCTAACATTCCAATTTTTTTATTTTTTATTCTTTTTTTAACGAAACATTTTTAACATTTCATTATTAACTTTTTTTCTCATTTTTTTTAATCGGAACGTTACCTAACGTTCTGATTTACATTTTTTTTTGAAATGTTTTTAACGTTTCATTATTAACTTTTTTTCATTTTTTTTTAATCGGAATGTTGGCTAACGTTTCGATTTACATTTTTTTTCTTTTTTTAATGAAACGTTTTTAACG